TTCCCTGTGGAGAGCTAGGGACTTGGAGCCTCCCTGTTTGTTTAAATAAGCCTTTGTGGCTATGTTGTCTGTTCGAATTAGTATATGGAGTCCCTTGATGTGAGGAGCGAAGTGCAAGAGAGCTAGTTGAATGGCTCTTAACTCCAGCAGGTTGATCGGTAGTCGTTTTTCTTTCTCTGACCATGTCCCCTGAATAGGTTTGGAAGACATGGTGGCACCCCAGCCCACCAGACTGGCGTCTGTGAAAATCTGTACTCTGTCTTGAATCCAGAATGTCTTGCCTTGTGTCATGTTGCGTGTCACTGTCCACCACTTGAGGCTCGACTTCACTTGTAGAGGTACCCTCAGGGACAGGTCCATCTTGGATGTAATGGAACGTTGAAACGGTCGAAGAAACATCTGTAACTATCTTGAATGGAGACGACCCCAGTGAAGAGCATCGAACGTCGCTACCATTAGACCCATCATCTTTGTTAGAGTAGATAGCGATGAAGTCCTTGCCTTTATCATTTGTCTGACCATATCCTGAATCTTCTTTGCCTTTGTCTCTGGGAAAAACAGTTTTGTAAGTCTGGTATCTATCACAACTCCCAGATGTTCCAAACGTTGGGATGGATTCAGTGAGCTCTTCTGGATGTTCACCAGAAACCCGAAATGCTGTAGGCATCGAATTGTCATGTCATTGTCCCGCTGTGATTGTAGCCTCGACGAGGAGCGAACGAGCACGTCGTCCAGATAGGGATGGATGTGAATCCCTTGTTCCCGAAGGCAGACGATCACATGGATGAGTATCTTGGTGAATACAGGGGGAGCCGAGGCCAGGTTGAAGGGAAGAGCCCGAAACTGGAAGTGTTCCCTGTCCACGCAGAAGCGAAGGAACCTGCAGTGATGGAGAAACATAGGGACGTGAAGATACGCCTCCGTTAGGTCTATAGAAGAGAGAAATTCTTGTGGCTTTAGGGATTCCGCGATGGACCGCAGGGTGTCCATGCGAAAGTGCTTTGGTTGAACAAATTAAGAATTTCAAGTCTAGAATAGCCCTCCAGTCCCCATTTTTCTTGGGGAACGTGAAAAAAATGGAGTATACTCCGTCCCCCTGTTCGTTCCTTGGAACACCTTCTATGGCCTGGATATTCAGAAGGTGAGTTATGGCTGTCTTGGTTCTTTCCCTTTTTGTGACTGGGGGAAGACAGAAATCGATTTGGTGGAATTGATAAGAGTTCTATTTTGTAGCCTTCCTGAACGAGCTCCCTCGTCCAGGTGTCTGGGTGAGAGTCGATCCACTCTTGTCTGAAGAGTAGAAGACATCCTCCCACCGGGGGAGACGGGTAGTCACGCCTTAGGGGTCTTAGGTTCTCTCTCCCCTCTATCTTGTCTGTTTCCATATGATCTTGGAAACCTGTTGTTGAAGCCCCCACGCCGAAAGGACTGTTTATTTCCTTGCAATGATCTTCTGTCTAGCTCTGGGCATGGCGTGGTATGGACGAGATGCGAAAGAGGAGGAGGAAGAAGTAGGAGGAAATGAGGATGGCCTTTTATCGCCAAGCCGAACAAATTTCGAAAGAGCTTTCTTTTTATCACGGGTTTGCACCAATATTTTCTCCAGGGGTTCCCCAAATAATTTGTCTCCTTGAAAGGGATATCCTGAGACAATAACTTTGGACTGGTAATCTGCCTGCCAGGATCTCAACCAGACCAAACGTCTAGCCACAGTGGAAGATGCCATGGCCCTAGAGGATAGTACCATGGTGTCTAGGGTGGCGTCAGCTGTAAAGGAAACAGCTTTTAATACTCTATTAGCACCCTCCAGTAGCCGTGTATCATTCTCTGGCAACATTTGTATCAATTTTCTCATCCATACAATGGCTGCTCTGGACACTGTAGAGGCGGCAGAAGAAGCTTTAATCTGACCATTCAGCTTTAACTTTGCACATATAAAAACCTGGTAAGGGAAAGGCCCTTTCTGAAAGGTCATCTGGGGGAAAGAATTCATCTGTAATCTCAGACCCCTCATATAACTCTTGATCCTCAGGGCGTTTATTCCCTGCTCTTTGTAAATTCTGAATTTTAAGAGCTGAGACTGTTTTGGACAGTAAGTAGTGGGGAGGTCCTCAGTCTTAAAAAACCGACAGGACTGTTCAGAGGGAACAGGAATCTGTTCCTCTTCCTCTGCATTAGAGCTGAACTCTCCCTCCTCTCTGTCGCTGGAGGCATTAGAAATTTCCTCTCCCTACCCCTGTTGAGGGCATGGAGGACGGGGGTGCCTGGGAAAACCCTTTTTGGCAGCTTTGGTGGGCCAAGCTTTCTTCCCTCTATTTGGGGAAGGAGAAGGGGAAGATGACGGAGAGCTTGAACGACTGGGGCACCCTCCGGAGTTACAAAAATGGGCTATTTCTTGCCTCATAGCCCTTCTAAAATAGGACATGACTCTAGGGGACAAAGGAGCAGACCCGGGGTCGCCAATGTTGCCGCAATTAGAGTTTTCCTCTTCTTCTCTGTCATTCCCCTGGGCAGCCTCAGCCTGTTTGCTCGCTGCTGGGTCGGACCCACTAAGACATACAGTCTCGGGTCGCTCCCTGCCCGGTATCGGGCTCTATCACTCATCATCCTCCGACAAAATGGCCGCCGCCATATTTGCTGACTCCTGGAGCGTGTGGGAGCTTTTGGCGCGCTTTCCTGTCTGCAGCCCTTTTTTGATCTGCGCGCTCTTGTCGCCTCTCCTCTCTCTCCATTTCTCCCGAAGAGAGAAAGCCATCAGTGTCTCCCCTGCGCGCCATTGCTGCTTTTGGGAGAGGAGTCTCACAGAAAGATTGCGAAAGGTAAGAAGGAGAGAGAAAAGGCTTTTTTTTTTTAAGGTAGAGAAATGAAGAGAATAGAAGTTAGAAACAGGAAAAAGAAGATGAGGGAGGATTTTGAAGAAACTAGAAGAAGCAAATGTGAAAGTGTAGGCGAAGCCTAATTTTTGCTGCTCTCCCTATTGAGGCAGGAAGAAAACTGAGCTGAGGGTGACTCCCACCACAGGAAACAGGAAACAGTTTGAAGTTCCTGCCTCCCTAAGAGATGGTTGGGAATCACCCACAAGATGGCCTCCACCTCAGAGGGAGAACTCTGAGAGAACTGCTCTTGAGAGAACAGCTCTGAGAGAAATGTGGCTTGCCCAACGTCACCCAACAGCTTCATGTGGAGGAGTGGGGAATCAAACCCGGTTCTCCTAGATTAGAGTCCACGCTCCTAACCACTACAGCAAACAGCACATCAAGTTCATAATGCCTTGATTCACTATAATGTACTGTCCATAGGTTTCTAGTTAAATGTTATTTTGCTCAGGGGCAGACAAATTCATGATCCATTAAAATTGCCTGAACTTAAAGAGGAAAAAGAAACTGGCAACCAGACAAAGAGCCTAACATACCATTCAGCAGAGTAGTAATTTTGATGTTGTCTATCCTGCTTTTTGTAATTCACTTTCAAGTTTAATGTTGGGTGACGTAACATACCATACAGTGTGCGGAGGCCAGTCTCCAGCAGCAGTCTTCATGGCTACTTTTGTGAGATTCAGGAGGGACACTGACTGCCACCAGTTTTCTCCAAATACTTGAAAAATAAAGTGGGATAGTTAGAGCCTACTGCCCCTAGAAATACCCAAACTGTTTGGGTAATTGCTGTGCTGATAAATAGCCGTGCTCTTTGCTAAGGTCATTTCAAATAATTAAGTTTTCCAGATAACAGACTTGAAAAGGGTTGGGTGGGATTTAATTTACTTAATGTGAAACTCTCTGCTTGTGCCAAGTGTTATTTAATGTTAGTCTGAAGCTGGGAATTTACCAAATGATTCAAGGGGTGGTAGCTCCAATCGGAGGCCCACCATTCTTAAATTCCAGACAGTTCTGAAGCTGGCAGCATATGGAATTCAATGCTGATGAACAGGGTTGAAGGCAGACAGGGGAAAGTTTCATTTTAATATTAATCCTAGTATAGTCTGTGGAACAAGAAATGGTTCTTCTGGGGAGTTGTTGCTGAAACGTCTAGCGCACATGGTTCTGAAATGTTTTACTGCTAAGGGGCATGTTAACAGACATTGATTTGGAGCCCATTAATTCCATCTACTAACTTTTATACAGAATTAGGGATATTACTAAATTGTGGTCCAACAGTTCACGTTTCTATTTCTCTGCATTTGGAACAAAACCGAAGGTGTCCTTTTCCCTTGACTACATTAGTGAAATTCGACAGAAGTGATGTGTAACGTATAAATGGCATTTAAAGTTTAAAAATCCTGTAAAAGAAACAAACAAAATGGAAAAGTTGCCAGAGAAAACAGACAGAGAAAGTTGTTTCCTAACCCTGCACAAAAAGTAAAGTGAAAAAACACATCTGTACAATAAACCTTTAAATTTCTTGTGCACTGTTGTTTGCACGGTTCACCAGCAATTTGTCTTTAGCTGACTGCTATAGTTTTGGACTCAGTGGTCTGTTGAGTACATTTTGAACCAGAGTTTTGTGTCTCATAAAGAGAAGGCCTTCCACTGTGATATCTTGTACAAGTCAGCTCATCCACTATGAGCTTTAATACTTTTTGAATCTTGCTGTACAATCCTGTGAAGAGTTACTCCAGTATATGCCCTGCTGGGACTGGAGTACGTTTGCATAGGATTGTCCTGTTAAGGTACAATCCTACATAGAATTAAACCATGCTAAGCCCCTTTACTTCAAAGGGCCTAAAGGTGAGTGACTTTGTTTAGGATTGCACTGCTCATGTCATACAAGGAACATCGTAGCCGTTTGTCTTTTATAGTTTCCTGATGTTGCTTGCGTATGCAAGTGCTCTGTTACGAAAACAGCAGAAATTGAGGAGTTCTAAAGTGCTGGTTTGCTTTGCTTTATATGCCAATAAAAGGCTTTGGATTGGGTTTGCTTTGCACATCAGTTAGACTGCCACTAGACTTTCCTTTATATCATGCCTGTTCTTCTCACCCTTCTACTTTGTTTTCTTCGTAAAGGCCAGACAACATCAACTTCAAGATGCTCCAAAATTCCAAATACAAAATCTGGTTGGTCAAGACAGAAGGAGAAGAAACCCTCAGAGGTCAGTTGCGTCTCATGCTTCTGCTCAGCCTGATTGGTGGTCTTGTTTGAGGACTATGCAGTTCTTAGTATTATTCCCAGAGTGGTGGCACCATATCCACTGAGGCTATTTTGATTCAGACCTCGGATAGTGACTTAGATACGTTGCAGTATTTCCCCGGTGCATGTCAGGAAGGGGCTGACCTAAATTTCATATGCTCCAGGATCCTAATCGCTATCATCCCGAGTTTCCTTCAGAAAAGGGAAGCCCAGTATCTAGTTATTAACAGTGGACCAGGAAGGACTCTTATCCCCTCCATCAACAGTCAGAGACCCTTCAGTGTTTAATGAAGTGGCAGAAGGCATGCCGAAGCTGCAGAACTGGATTCAGTATAAGGAACAGCAGCAGTACTTAAGAGCCTAGTTTGTTTATTTATTATACATATCTTCCCTTTCTTTCACCATGGTGGTATACACAAGATACACAGGAGATTCCTCCATCCAGGCATTTACAAGATTGAGACTGACTTTGCTTAAGCAATACTGCTTTCTCGTGTACCCTCCAAACAAACCCTGGGATCCACTGAGCTCTGTCCACTGCAGGAGCTGTCTAGTTGCTGTCCTAGGTCCTCAGCTCATTTCAAAGGAATGGCCTAGGAGTTGGGTTAAGCACCCAATACAGGAAGCAGACTCCTGAATGAAAAGGCAAATCACAGACTGAAGGGGAAACACATTGGTTCTTTCAAATGATGTCTCAGGTTGGAAATTATCTTTTGATGTCTCAGATGTCATTCTCTGTTGCGTCAGTAAATGTTGTTCCCTTTCAAGATGCAGTGTTTCAGTTCTGGTACCTTTGTACAAGAAGAAAACACAGACTGGTTTTTATTATACTATAGACTGGAAGTGCACAGTTTGTAGGCACATGGAAATGGCTGTCTGTTAATGCTGTATGGTAAAAAAGGTATTAACAAGCACCTCTAATGGCTGCTGATGCAGAAATACGTCAGAAACCTATAGGAAACATAACGAGCTCTAAAAGAAACCTTATATTTGCAATAGATAGTGTTAATTATAATGTAAACATAGCGAAATTTGAATTTAAGACTTTGTTCCACAATCTTACAACAGCTGCTGTATGCTTGTATGTATAATGGATTGGATCCTGTATTCTGTTTTCACTGGTGCAAGGGCACTTCTGCTGGTGGAGGAGGGAGGCCGATCTTCTCCGATTCTTCCCTTCCTACTGCAAATCTCCAGATTACAACCTTTGCTGTTCCGGTGGCAGTGTTTAGACCAGAGGTGTCAATCATGCAGCCCGCGGGCCAGATCAGGTCCTCGGAGGGCTCCTATCCGGACCATGAGGAACTGGCTGTCTCATGCTTCCTTCTCCAGTTTTGCTGCTGCTGCGTCGCAGCTTGTTTTACCAGACTGTCTCAATCGCACAGGAGGGAGAGATAGGCAAGCTTCTGTTCCCTGCACTGGTTGAGGCTCTCCCATTCCTCCTTCCAAGGGAAGGGAGGGAACGAGCCAGAGCTTGCTTCCTGGCCAGGCTGCCTCAATCGCACAGGAGACAAAGGCAAGCCTTTCTTCCCCTCCACTGGCTGAGGCTCCTCCCCTTCCTCCTGCCTTGGTTTGCTTAACTGCCTCAATTGCACGGGAGAAATACAAAGCGCCTTTAAGACCAACAAAGTTTTATTCAAGGTATGATCTTTTGTGTGTACAGTGAGGCTCCTTATACCAGGGTTCTCCTGGGTGCAACTGGGTTCCCTCCCTCTTTTCACTGTATCCATGCCCTCATAATTCAGTCTTTCTTAATAGGAAAGCAATGTGAACTCTTTAGTTGAGGAATAACAACAAACCAGTGAGGTGGATTAGGCTGTGTGTGTCCAGACCAAGTTCACCCAGCACATTTCCTTTGTAGACTGGGGATTTTGAACCTAGACTTCCCAGATTGTAGGCAGATACTGACCACTATACATTGCTGTCTCTCTATTCTTGCACTGCCTCATAGGAGTTGTAGTTATTTCTCTGGGAAAGACTATAGTTTTATAGACAAACACATAGCCCTCAGTCTGTGTCAGGATGCCTTCTCATGTTCTTGACGAGTACATGAAGCAATTTATGTACAAAAGCTTGCAATGCCCAGCCATTTCATGTTTTCTCCTGGGTCCTAGGCTCAGAACACTAGCATGAGATTTTTGTAATAAATGTCAATAAATCAAAAGTAGGTTTGCAGCTTACAGATACACACCTGAACAGTATACTTAAGATTGCTACAGCACAGACATTTTGATGCAGTAATTTAGAGCAAGAGGTGTCAGTTATCAGAGACTATTAAATAAACAAAATATTGCGAGAGTGCTAGTGTTTTAAGCATGTTGTCTTTAAAGTTTTAAAAATTATTTAATTGTGCTTGTGTCCTGTATAAAATTTATATCTCTGCTACCTGGCATTACATTTTATGACACACATAGCCCAGCCCAACAAGGTCTCATTTATGTCAGAGCTGTCTCTCATAACAAATGAGTTCAACACCCCTGGATTAGAGGGTGCAAGAGGTAGAAAGCAGGGCTATGCTCCTGGATCATAGAATCTAGCTCATTGTTGTGCTATTTATTTGTTTGTTTGTTTATTTGTTTTTGACATTTTTACCCCACCCTCCCCGCGAGCAGGCTCAGGGTGGCTTACAAGAGGGCACAGGCCCATGCATAAAAACAAGATAAAACAATAAAACCATTAAATAACAACGAAAACAAGAATAAAGTGCTCCATGCAAACAAGATGGCCTCTGAATAATTTCATGATGGTATCAGTCATTTCATTGGGAGTGATATTGTCCTGTAGATGGTCCAAGGCTAGTCCAGCAGTATCAGTGCCATGCAAGATTACGGCAGATCTTTCAGGGACCGCCTCTGACCCCGTTGTTGTCCCCGCCATTGGTGGTGGTGGTAGTGGCGGCCCCTATATGAAAGCCTAACGGAAGAGCTCCATCTTGCAGGCCCTGCGGAACTGCATAAGGTCCCGCAGGACCCTGATCTCCTCCGGGAGCTCATTCCACCAGGTAGGGGCTGCCACTGAAAAGGATCTGGCCCTGGTCGCAGCAAGCTTTGCCTCCTGGGTGCCTGGAATCACCAGGTGGTGTTGTGTCCCCGACCGAAGTGCTCTTGGGGGTATATGTGGGGAAAGGCGGACCGCAAATCCTCAGGTAAGTCGGACCCTTGTAAAGGAGGTTAACATTCCCGTATTATAGGTATGGGGCTGAGAGAGAGAGGCTTGCCTTAGGCCTCCTGTTAAATTCACGGCAGAGATGAGATTGAATTGGAGATTTCCTGAGTTGTAGTCCAGTTTATTAGCTGATATGCTCCACCATCTTTTGAGTAAACTGAGATAAACTGTAATCTCTCAAACTGACAAGCTGCCTTGGACTCTGGAAGCCTTGCAATCAAAATTTTGTATCCGTTGCCTTTTAGGGCTGCAATGTGAAACTCCCTTGTATGACAGCCGTTTCCTTGGTTTTCGAATGATCTTTTGACTGTGCCTTCTGAAACTGTGTTGTGGTTCGCATGTTCATCATATCTGCTGCGGCAGCATAAGATGCAAAGCTAAGGAATCAAAGGCACTAGACCTATGCAGTCATTAGCAAAGTCAAGGGTGATGCTTCTTATGAAAGACTGTGTGACAAGGGATTAGCTATGCACATTCATTGTGCAATTGGAAAGACGAGCTTCTTTGCATAGAAAACACCGAGCCCTTTGTAAATATTGAGGTCATTTTACAGCATTGTCAGGACATTGTGCAACAATTCATTGTTGGCACTGGTTTCAGATTTCTCCTTAATTCTGGCCTGCAGTTCAGCATGGGGCTAAAATGTTGCTCCTTGTCTCATCATATATTTCATTGTTAAGAGATGAAATTACTTTGTAAGTGTGAGGTCCATTCTCATTGACTGATGTGGCCACCACATATAAAGATGAGAATGTAGAGTCCTCATACAGTCTTGTCAGTCCTCTGCACATGTTTAATAATGTGCTTTACTCATCTAGGTTTACATGTTATGGAACAGTTATGCTCTTTGAGCTAGTTCAGTGTCAGGGTTAGAATGCTGGACTAGAAGTTGGGGGTTCTGAGTTCATATTCCTAAGCAACAACAATTGGGTGAAGTTGTGCCAGTCATTCTCTGTTTCTCTGTCCCTCTCTCACCTACCTCACAAGATTGTTGTAGTGAGAATAAAATGGAAGAGGGGAGACCCTTGATCTCTGTTGAAAAAATGGGCGGGATAAAAATATGATACATAGTTGAGAAGCTTTGCTGTGGTGGCTTGTGTTTAAGAACACTGGCTTGTGTTAGGTGGTTTTTTCCTAACACAATGGTTAACGATGGGTTAGGTTCTCAATTTCACACCCAAATGGGATTTAGGTGCTTACAGGGCAGTCCACATCCCTGTTAATTTAATCGAAAGGCTCCAAGCCAGTGTTCCCTCTAAGCTGAGTTAGTGTGAGCTAGCTCACAGGTTTTTAGCTTCTGGCTTGCACATTTTTGTCTTAGCTCAGGAAGGATGGCTCCAGAGCAAACTAATTTATGCAATAGACAAATTGCTCGCTCACAACATTAATGCCAGTAGCTCACAAAGTAGAATGTTTGCTCACAAGACTCCACAGCTTAGAGGGAACATTGCTCCAAGCCCCTGTCTTGCTGCTTATGTTGGCTTCCAAAAATCACACCTCCATTCCTTGTCAGAATACACCGAGCTTTGAACAGAACATAGCGCTGCCACTGAAATATACTTTCAAGTAAAGCAAGTTTATGAAAATTTGCCTAAAAAGCACTTTAAAACTCAGCTAAAGAATTAAAGATCAACAGAACTAAAAGCTTTAGATCTCAGCCAGAAGCAGATTTCACACCAACAGTCTAGATAACCTGAAGGGGACAGAGAATCAGGGTTTCCTGATGACAAACTAGGAACTCAAGCTTTTCTACTCTGCAGCTGTTTTTAAAAGCGTGGCTCTTGACAGGGGATTTCG